TCACCGCACACCGCGCCCGCCACGGGCGACGGATTACCTCGTCGAGGATTTGAAGGAAGTTGATTACGAGTCGGATACTCCTTGCCCAGGAAAGGAAGAGGAGGCGGGCGAGGTGCACCAGCGGTGTGACGTGAGCCCTGCTCGAACCTTGCGGATACCGTGTCTGTTTTCCGACTCTCGACTTCCCGGAAAGTAGTACCATAACCAATCGTCTCAACGAGGCGCAGGAGCAGCAACTAGAGGCTGCCCGCATGGTGGCTATGCACGCGCATCCACTGTCGGTCCCAGATCCCGCCACTGAAGCGAAGGACGCGATCACTCGATCTTTGTGCGTCTACGTGGTCGGGCCTCCGGCTACTACGCAAGCTAAGTTTGACCAACGAAAAAGCTCTCCGAGATCGCTTCTTGGTACCCCAGGAAATCACAGTAGATAGATACCGCGCTCGATTATGCGCTCAAAGAGGAGGCGCTTCTGTACCCGGAATGCGGACGATATCTGCGGTGCTCGCCCATGACAAAATCGCTGCAGATGACGAAGAGCTCTTTGAGCGATGGGAGCTGCGGCACCGGGAGCTTTCTTCACTGTCTACCTAACAGTGGGGCCACATGGAAGTGCACGAGCGCGAGGAAAGCCACCTTTGGCTCGAGTTAGCCGAATTCAAGGCGCAACGCCGACTTCCTGTGTATTTGTCGCCCTGTGTCGTATGGAACAATCCATAACGCTCCTGCGAGCTCTGTGCTTTTTCACACGGGTGAGTCTACGACCACAGCAGCTCAAGGCCATCGAGCTCAGCTCATGGTCCCCCGGCTTGCCGGACAACTGCCGAGACGCACGGTGCGCAAGGCGATGTGTAGCGTCATGATCCTTCTAATCAGAAGCGTCTACGACGTCTGGGTAGTTGGCAACTCAAACTCTCACGAGTTCTCAGGATCTAAGTCTTCCCGCCACTTCACAAGAAACTGGGTTTGACCCTGTCGACGACAGTCGGTTCACAAGACGTTCCACGTGATAGTGGACGCCACCATTCTAATCGAGAAGGGTCGGCGTCGGACGATGACGACCTGGTCGATTGCCGTCCGGTTGTTCGCGCTCACTTCGAGTATTCGAGGACAAGGTCCGTCGTCATCGGCACTCTGCCAAGCATCTCTCCGAGGTCGCATACAGCTGTGCAGAAGACCTCGAGAGTCTGGAGCACTTTGTGCACCGTCTGCCTTGCGTTGAGGATTGACGGGCTCTGTCGGAGCGGCTTCTAGCCGCAGAGAAGGCGAATATGTCACTTCTTGCAACGGTGGAGCGCCTTGCGCCGTCGGAAACGGAAGTTGTTGCACTCCATGACCAGAGCCAGTTGCTAATTCTGGGTGGCCGAGCGCCTTCGGGCGCCGTATTGGCGTCAACGCTTCCGCGTTCACTTGCGCTGGATCCCGGTACGGCTTAAGCAAGCCCACATAAGACACCGGGTGGGTGCGCATCCTTCTTGAAAGGTTCAGCGTATTCGCGCTTTCGTAACGAGGTGCTCCACTCCCTCAGGGCCCAACAGAGACATCAGCTTGTTAAGCCCGTCCTGCATGCCCTGGGACAAATAGGAGATCTGCTCCATCCTCAGGTGGAGATTGACTATTTGTGCTACCATGTGCAGCTTGGCTGCCGTAGCCCTTTCGCTTAGAGGAAGCTAAGCTAAGGTGGATGACCTTACGTTCTATACTTGGAACCAGTACGAGTGTAGCGGATCGCAATTCGCTTGCGCCAAGAGTAACCATAACCTTAACACAAGGCAGATAAACTCTTCCTTCAAAATGCAAACTGTATCTCTTGGTTTTAATCGCGGTAAAGCCACCTACATCTAAATCTTTCGGCTCTCCAAATTAAATAGTAAAAATGCATGACTACTGGCAGTCTAGCCACGTACTGACTTCTTGTCAAGGTGTATCCACACCATTGTGTGTTTACACCACCTTATGTGATTCACCCCTTCATACCAGGGTACGTGTAATCCCGTTTCAGCTTTACTCGAGAAAGATTTAGCTGCGATATTGTTTTTTTACATTACTCGATAAGTTAGAGGATATTCACATTAACTTGGAGCGGTTGACAAGGCTGTTTGCAAAATCTGGTGATGTCAAAGAATGTTATCACCATTAATGCAACAAAAGAAGTCATCGCATTGCATGAGACTGGAAGATTATGTGCGACGGTATTGCCGTGCGTCTTGCCCAGAGAAAAATTAAGCTCAATGAGTCCGAGTTGAACAGCGCAAAGAGGATGGTTTCGTACACTCAGAAATCGAGAGCCTAAAATTGTCTAGTTATCTATTTGATCTACCCATTGCGAGGGATATATTTATCAGATTAGATATATTAATATTATTTTTAAAAATATAACTAATGCATTATATGACGCGGTGCTAATATCCACGTATTCCACGGATCCATCCTTTGTGATGTCCAATCGCCCCCATCAATACCAGTACCTTGAAACATCCGATTGTGCACAATTGTATAGAAGCGTGATGTCTACGTACACAGTACCACAATACGTAACAGTACAGCACGTGCTTCGTCACATCCTCAACTAATCACATTTATTATGTCGGTACAAAAAAGGCATTACGCAAAAGTGAACGCTTAATAAGCACCCACTCCGCTTGGAATATCACTAACCATTGCACCGTACGATGCCTACTTATATAAACATTCTTGCATTTTATTTACTCTTTCTGATATACACACAAATGACTCGACGATCCCCTGAGAAAAGCGCAACCCTCGAGGCCGACTACCTTAGAACCAATTCACACGTGTTTTCCGATGAATACGGTCTATGTGACTCCTTGAATCCTACCCTGAACCCCCATTGCGGAGGGAAAAAGCCAGAGCCGTTGACTGACGGGCGCTCTCCATGCCCCAACTATTCTCCGCACAGAATACCGTCGCTTCGGCTTAAAATGTTATGACAAACTACCGCGAAACTCACCTCAACATCCAACTTGTCATCAATGACCTTGATCTGACTAACGAGTTGTATTGTCCTCATCTGCTAGCGCCAGAGTCGTGAAGACTTTTGCCGACTTTGTCACGTAAACAATAATATTGTTATATCTGATGTTGCTCGCCGTCACTCAGGAGTACCGTCTGTGCTTGGAGCAGTAGCGGTTCAATAAACTCACAGTCTCCTGAGCTACTGATTGCTGGCAGAAAGAGCCGGTTAATCTCACACTCAATTTGCGCGCTCAGTAAGGAAGTCACGTTGCCTCACTCATCTAATAACTTCACAAGTCAAAATCAATCAGACAGACAGACGTCATACTAGAGCGTCGTCTGATACTTGACTTTGAGAACTAAAAGGTCCAGTATGGCTGTCGAGGCAGAGTCTCATCATTCCAATTTGCTGTTGATTTCCCCGCCTACTACCATGAGACAACTGTTTCAACTACCGACCAAGTCTTGAACTTGAAACATTGTCGGAGAGCGTGCTGCGCAAACTCTGCCTCTATCACTGGGGAGACAGAGACAGAAGGTGCTTCAAATCGTAACTAGAAAAGTGTCGATGTAATTCTGCCCAAGCGGGTCCTCAAACTCACATGTAGTTACAAAAGGTGACATAAGCTCTAAATTTACGTACACTTTTAATTTGAGCAAGTACTACTTAAAAGACTTCCAGCTTGGGCTCCTGTGGACGGCCTTCGAGCCCATCATGATCTGTGCTAGGTAGGATTGGACATCATAACTTAAAATTTCTCTGCGCAAGGTGCTCAGAGTCAAATATACTAAAATCAGAGCTGGTAAAGACTCTGTATCATATTTGAACCGCCGCCCACTGGCGTGCATTTCCTGTAGTTCACCGCTGATACAAAACGTATCGCGATTCAGATATTTTAACCGCCAAACCACACACCCACATAAAGATAGAGGATCTGCTGGCTAGGGCGTTTGCTTCCTCTTGATACCGCAAGCTCTGGATACAGCATTATTCAAATCTTCACCTTTGTAGTAAACAAGGACCCTCATTAATGCCTGTGTCAAAGCTTGATGCAATCATTTCAATGTAGGTTACTGTACCCGAGTCTATTTGGCACACTTGCCGTGCTCGTAGATTCCGAGTCAACAAATCTAAGACAGTGACCATCCCTACAACCTGGGTCCGCCCGGAGCCCGATATTGTTCAGTGAGTGTTTGAGCTAATTTTGCGCTGATTCACGCTCATCATCTGTCTTTGTTCTGCATACAGCCCCCAGTCAGCGGAAGTTGAAGATAATAAACAAAGATAACAGGTCATAAACGCAATCGCTACTGCTGTTCGGAGGAGAAAGGTATGAAGGATCACCTCGCTCACATGCGAACACATCAAACTTTGTTTTGGTTAAATCCGATCGCATTCCCAGTTCTATCATGGCAGATCAGGAAATGTTGTGCCGCCAATGGGGCCCGAGCTTATGCATTTGTTGACGTCTAGCTCTGACTTCCATCACATTGCTATTGATTCCCGTCACGTTTTTCTCGTGGATGTAGCTTAAGGCTCGAGAACGACGATTGCAAAGCGATAGTGCTTGCAGACAAATATTCTTACTATCTGATATCGACGATCCTACCCTTTGTAAACGCGCAAAGTACGCGATGTCGCTTTTGCGTTCAAATTTTAGACTTCAACTACTAGATTCTTTCACGCTCTAATTCTTGTCGAGATACCGATAGAGCGAATGTTTCACCGATAAAGTATCAGTATTATCCATAGGAAAGTCCGAAAAGATCTTGCGACCTTTCATGGCAGAAATATCGCCCAGTATAGCTTTCACACAGTGACGGACAGACTGAATATAGAGCTCGCGACTGTAGGCATTGCGTAAGACACTATTTGCTCTCATACGCAGCTCGTATAATCTTTTACGACCAATCATGTATCTGACGAGGAAACTTCTACGCTCCACAATGTCCTCAGAGCCTGTGGTCGAGAAGAAGAGAAAGGAAATACCCTTTGTCTCCCAACCGACTTTAAGGCGACGTGCTGCCGTTCGTGCCAGTGCCAAGATCGGTGAGGTGTTAGCTGATTCGTCGGGGCCGACTGCTCGCAGACCAACGCTTAAAACATCATCGAGGAAGATGGAGGGTGGGGGTCACGAGAAGAACAAAAGTTGTAATCAACGGCGAGTAAAGGAGATCACAGAGATGAAGAGAACAAAAAAGAAAGAGAACATATGTGATGTCGGAATGACCAAGTTCCATGGTTATCAGCGTATGGTGGACGTACATGACCGTGGAGATCAGTATACAGAGGCCAGAATTCTTGAGTTGGATCCGGAGAAACAACTTTTATATGTTCATTACATGGGCTGGAACGCAAGGTTTGATGCGTGGGTTGATTTGAACAAGGTAAAAGCACACGGCAGCCGTTGCGATGTAGTAAAGAGGCATAAGATGAGTTGGAATGGCAATACGTCGCTCTTCGCGACAAAAGATGATATAGCTACACACCGTCAAAGTGCGAAGTGTCGAAGTAAGAAATCACGAAAGAAATGGGCTGCTCAGTCACCAATATCACGACATACACCACAAGATACTATGAAAAGAGTTAGGCAAAAAAATTACAGTCAAGAGGTGGTGGTTGATGAAAAAGAAGACCAAAATCTAGTCACCCGATTAGGAAGAAGGAGCCCGAAAATTGCGAAGGTAACTAAAAAGCTACCGACAAAATCACCACGTGGTGTCAAAAAAGTGGTGCCGTCTCCTGGACGAAGGACGCCAAGACGCGTTCGAGTTGCAGTGGGGACTATTGACGAAGACAGTGAACGTAAGAATGGGAGTGAGACAGCAGACTTAGTACTGGACGTTGAGATTGATTCGTTGCACGATGAATCTGATGTGGAAGGAGCGAATGACAATCGAACGCAGAAACACGCGAATGAAAGGAAGACAACAAATTGTTGTAGTGCTGAGAACGAGAATTTAGATGGAGCAAAACGAAAGCGAGAGGCTCAAGATGCTGGTGATGCCGTTAATTGTCAAGTCGCTCAACGTTCAGTGCACAGAAAGAAACATAAGCAAGATATTGAACCTGAAGCTATTACTCAGTTCTCACCTCAATCACAATACAGAGGATTGGGCAACGCCACGCGCGAAAAACTTGCCGCAATCTTTCGGCTACGCATGCAACAGAAACAGCAAATTGAGCAGATGAAATTGAGCAAGACGAGTTTTCAGCAATCGCTACAAGATCCAGCAGTCGAAACCTTGACAGTCGACCAATCTACAAGCGCTATCAAATCAGATATAAACGCGATGACTGTGGCTAATGCAGAGCTTGCAGCTGCAGAGGAATATCAGCGACAATTACAGCAGTATTACTACCAACAACAAGTTTCTCTCGTCAGCAGTAGGAACACTGACAGCGAAGACCCAAGTAAATTTCCACTTCGGGGTGGCATCATGGATCCTCGAATCATACAAGAACGTCTGACGGCTCTAGAAGAACGTCGTCGACAACAAGCGCATGTCCAGGCATATTATCGCCAGCTAATGCTTACACGGGAGCGTAACGTACGTGCTTTAGCAGCGAATCAGGCGTTCATGGCTACGAGTGCAGCAGTCTGGGAGCAACAAGTAAAGGAGACACAGAGTGAGGATGGAACATCGCCTGTCTCGAGCTCGAAAGACGGGGCAAGCGATAGCAAGTCGACGAGCGAGAATGCAGGTGATGGATCAGAAACAGATAATAGCAGTAGAGATGACAACCATGAGAACACGAATGAAAGACAGAGCAGTTTACCTGAAGTGAATTCTCTCAGCGACGCGAACAAGATTGCATTGTCCGATACGTTAGAAAAGGCAGACGCCTCATCGCCTGCCAGAAGTGATTCTAACCGGAGTGACCCAGCAGACACACCAACACAAGGGGTTCTCTACGAATTTGTACTGTAGCTTCAAATAAAAATTCAACACTCAATTTAATTGGTGAAATACAGTTTGACTAGGAATTATATGTTTCATCTGAGATAAGTAGGGATTTCAGAGTGTTGGTCGTTTCCCAGTGCGAGTGCGGTAAATAGTTCATTCCGCTCCAAGTACCAAGCACGGCGAAATGTCGTCAGCTGAGGAATTTGATATCCTCACGGATGACGAGCAGGATGCAATCGCCATACACCGCAGCAGTGATGATGAATTTGATGCTGATTGGGACCCAGAAGCGTCATATGTGGACAAGGAGGATGAAAGCGATGACATTGAGTGTGACGACTCTAGAGAAGTTGACGACGAAAGTAGTGATGAATCTACCCACTCATTCTTTCGGCCACGAAGAATAGTACGTCGGAGTAGTTGCAACGAGAAAAAAGTGGGCGGGAAGCGCAAAACCAAGCAGTCAGAGGGCTCAGAGCGTCGCAACCGCCGTCGCAAGATTGCAGACGTGATGGACGATAAGGATTTGGAACTTAATACCCGCAAAGCTCGAGAGGAAGAGGCTAAGCGCGCGAAGAGAATTGACGCCATTTTGGGCAGCTTTTCTAACTTGTCGGAGGATCAGCTTGCTGTACCGCACGAGAAAGCAAAGTTGTTGGTTCTTAATCCCACGTTAACAGATGGTACGTTGCCGACAGGCAAAGAAGGCACAGAAGACGCCCCGATCTTTGTATACAAGGATATTGTGGACAAGCTTAAGCCCCATCAAATAATCGGCGCTAGATTTCTTTGGGGCCATGTCGCTGAGGAACCGCAAGGTTTTGGTTGTGTCTTGGCCGACTTTATGGGTCTCGGGAAGTCGCTGCAGGTAATAACGACGGTGCAGGCGTTCTTGACGAAGACGACGCTAGATAGCTGTGGTAATTTGAGACAGAGACATAAGCATGTGCTTATTTTAGCCCCAACAATTTGTGTTCGAAACTGGGAAGCAGAGGTGGTTAAGTGGCTAGGCAAGAAAGAAACGCGACGTCTTGGGCTGTTTACCTTAGAGTCTAGTCGTGAAAAGAAGATTGTTGATCGACTTAATGTCGTTAAGCAGTGGCACAGGTGCGGGGGATTACTGATTACGGGCTACGAATTGTATCGGCTTCTTGTACTTCAGTCAAGTGGTGAGGAAAAAATTTCAACAAGCAATCAAAAGGTCGCACATATGATTAAAAAGATTTACAAGTGCTTCTGTGACCCGGGCCCAGATTTAATAGTGTTGGATGAGGGTCATCGAGTCCGTAATTATAAATCTAAGCTGGTAAAGGCACTGGCCCATGTTAAGACGACTCGACGCATTATACTCACCGGATACCCTCTGCAGAATCATTTGGAAGAATACTGGACTATGGTCAACTTTGCGCGTCCTAATTATTTGGGCTCACTAGACGAGTTCAAAAATCGATTTGTTGCCCCCATCAAAAATGGACAGTGTATTGATAGCTCTGCTGCTGACCTGCGGCTGGCTCGACGACGCGCTTTTATTTTATCCCAAGAGCTCAAGTCGCTGGTATTACGTAGAGATCAGCGATATCTCTTTGAACAGCTACCACCTAAGAAGGAATATGTACTAATGTGCAAACTGACCGATGCTCAAGCGCAATTGTACCGCGAATTTCTCATTCATGGTGTACCAGTGCGCGGCGGCCCTGATACGGTGGACGTGCTTGGTGGCTATCACATTGCGCTAGCGATTTCGAACCACCCCGACGTCATCTTTGAGACATACAATCGTTTGGAAGAAGAGGAGCGCATTGAATCTAGTAAGAAAAAAAATCGACGAGCCGTATCAAACCTTTTTAATGAGGATGGCGTCGATGGAAGTGATCCATATGACGATGTGCTTATGCTTGAGCCCCATCACCGTGGTACTGGTCCACTTGCAAAAGTGTTTAGCCCACCACGAATAAATAATGTTGATGACGATGATGACAACCAAGGCAAGGCAAGAGCGCTGGACGCACCAAGTACAGTTCCAAGAGTGAAAAAGGAGCATCGCTTAAAATTTGCCCGAAAATTTATGGAGAAGTATGTGCCCCATCAACTTGAAGCTAGCGGCAAAATGATGATATTGATGAACCTTCTTTCAGCGTGCCAGAATATCGGTGATCGTGTGATACTTTTTACGCAGAGTATTTCTACGCTGGACACGATTGGATCGATGATTTCGAAACACAATAGATATCAGCGTCGGCGCGCAAAGCGTCTCCATTACTTGCGGATTGATGGGAGTACGACCCAGCAAGACCGATTTCGCCAAATTGCGCAATTCAACGATTTAGATGAGGATATCGATCTTATCATGATTTCAACGAAAGCTGGTGGAGAAGGAATAAATCTTTGCGCCGGCAACCGGATTGTTATTTTTGACGTCTGTTGGAACCCATGTAACGATGCTCAGTCAATGTGTCGCTCATATCGTTTTGGCCAAACGAAACCGGTATTTGTGTACCGATTTGTGACGATGGGAACGATGGAAAAAAAGGTGTACGACTTGCAAATTCGTAAAGAGGGAGTGGCCAAACGTATTGTGGATGAGATGACAACCGAAAGGAGGTACATGACCTCGGAACTTCAACAATACTTCAGTGTTAATGATTTCGAAAAATCGCTGGTTCATGCCCAAGGTTTGGTAGCCGATAAGGAATACAAAGCAATTCCTCAAGAAGATGATGTTCTCAGGAGTATCTTGTCGGAATTGTGGCATCAAGATTCTACTGCAATTGTTCCTGATAGTAAAGTTGGAAAGACTACTTCAACTGGCATGATAGCTGACAGGAGATGCATTATTGATTGGTTCGAGCAAGATACTATGTTTGAAGAGGATCTGGATCAGCAATGTTCCCTTGCTGAGCAGAGAGAGGTTCTGGAAACCCATGAGTACTTTAAAGCGGTGCGGAAATTGCGTGAAGGAGGAATTCACCGTATTAGCCGCGAAGGGTTGTTGTTAAAGTCCTGCGACAGATGCCATGCATTGAACGAGATTTACCCAAGCTCAACTACAAACGTACCTGTGCCGTCGTCGATTGAATGTAATTTTTGTAAGCAGCCCGTTCCAACTTCGGGAGCAGTTCCCCCTTCCCAGTTGCCAGCCTATACTTATTCAGGAATGCAGCGAATACCTGGTTTTTTGATGCCTTTGTCTGGGTCGTTTCCATCATCGACATATGCATATGTTTCAGCTGGAAGTGACCCAGCTCGAACCCTTGTACCAGGAGTCATTTCAGCTGACCCGACTGCTGCTCGATTTGGTGGTAACCAAAACCGTTTTGAACAGCTTTCGCATCACAGTACTGGAAGAAACTTGAATCAATGGCTTGGAGAGCTGGCGCATCGGCAAAACAATATACAAACAAACATGCCCCAACAAGATCGCGTAAGTATGAAGCTGAGTGATAGGCATTTGCTGGTCTTGCGACGAGGTATTAAGGGTTGTCAGGACCTTAGAAGAAAGGCAGAAAAGTGTGGTGCTACCTTGGCTATCGAGGTGGATTCCCAGCTGACTGATATTGTAAGTGCGATGGACAAGGCTGAAACTTTGAAGTGGCTTAAGCTCAACAAGCTTCCACAAGATGTGGAATTGCATGATGAGGCCTGGCTACGTAATGAAATTGCCAAGGAGTCAGGAGTGCATTTACTTGATGTTAAATCGAGCGCAAACATAATATCCACTGAGGGCGCTGATACAGCTTTAAACGCCGGAGATTCTTGCACTAGAACTCTAATTTCTGCGACGACTGCAGTCAATGGTGAGGTATCAGTCGGAAGCAACAGCGACTGTATTGAGCTTACAGACTCCGATGACGAGACTCGTTTCAGACCAGCTAGCAACCATCAACCGGCAGAGAGTAAAAGAGCAGTTTCAGTGCCTGACGAAGGTGAGGTTATTGAGATTTTGTAAACTTATCATAAGTCATGGCAAGGCGAATTTTTGGTGAATATAAATCTGCCTTTTGAATTAAAACGACTTATGAAGTCCACCCTTGCCAGCTATCAAACAAGATATACGCAATTTAAGGCAAGAAGGCTCAATTGATGTATTGCGTCAATGAAATTCACACGAATTTGCAAATTTAATCTTGCATTCCGCAAGAGTTCTTGCTGCTGTCGAATCCGCTCTGTACATTCCACAGTGAGCTATGCTCACCAAAATACTGATTGCTCAGTTTATCATGCACGATTTTAGATCCAATGTTGCATATTCAATTTATCGTGTTTTTGACTTGAGTACATTCTTCGACGCTTTTTAGTGAATGAGATCTGAAGCTCGATATCTATAGCACGATATAGCAACCAGACCGCATTCGCACTTTAACCATCGAAAGTGAGAGGTTTTCAGACCTTAAACTCTCAATCACGACAAGATGAAATTTATTGAGCTTCGGGATGAGAACGTGCTCGCAGAAGACACGCCAATTTTCATAGAATCTTTTTGATTGGATTAAAAAATGTCATGATTTTGGCGGGTGTACTCATTAGCCGAAACAAGCATACCGCAATCACTGATCGCGGCATTCGCCATCAAAGTCACTATTCGAAAATAGTTATAATTAAGAAGCTTGCTCATGGCGTCAAATACGCTACTGTTCCCATTATAATGCATCATCCGACCATATACATCGAAGCTTAACAGAGTCTGGGTTGGACATATGAATCGGCGACCTAGCACTAGCTTAACCAAAGCGTTATCCTTGCACGAGTTTGGAAACACTTGTTCTAGTGCAGTAGCTGTTACCTGTCCTTCAAATTCTCCAATCCACTCGATCAAGCAGTTTCCAGATTCACTGTTCACGACCCTTACAGAGTATGCTCGAACACATCACACTTTAAATAATTGCTTGTATTGCCGCCATAGCTCCAAGAACTCTACTCTTGATCTACGATGCCCTCTAACGACAAGATTTTCGGGTATAATCATTGACAAGAAACTCTCTTCAGTAGCTGAGAATGTTCCAGGGTGGCCGTGTCGAAAAATGTGGAAAAAGTTGTCGACCAAACGTAGGGACCGTGCCTGAAACTGCTCTCTAGCTACAAGCAAGCGCATCTCGCGAATGGTTTTAAACATAATACAATCGTGCACCTGCTGACGCAGATTATTTACGTCTAAGGTGAGATTCAATAGTAGCGAACTGTCGATATCTCGCTGGTTTTTATCTCGAAGTCGCTTAAGGGATGATCTCCTCTTTCGCCTATTCTTGACATCCGTGCTGAGACTTGAACCTTTTCTGACTCGCTTTTGAATCTCTGAGTCATACACAGGTCCATTGAGTAGACGAAAAATCTCCATTGAATATTATTTGTTAGCTGCTCGTTGAAATAAAATGAAGAATGAAACAATCTTGAGTCTTGGAAGTCGTGAAAAAGAAGTTAAAATAGCTCTCACTGTTTTTGACATCAGTAATTTAATATTTCACAATGCGCATTAATGTACCTGTCGCAAGACCAAGCTTTCAGAGGGTGTGATCAAAAAAATTTGTATGTCGCAGAACCCGGTGCTACCTGTCAGATTTCATATGCCAATCCTTGCAAGAATAACATCAGCTGGGCGTGATTACATTTATTTCTCCATATATCGGTACAGTGTCTCAGAATCTGCATGATTGTGCGAAGCTGCATATCGTGCAAAGTCGTCATGAAACGACTAATAGATAAATCAAAAAGTGGCACCTTTGTAGCCGCGACAACATAATTTATTCAGTGATAGCTTTTTATCACAATATCAAAAACACACAAATGTAATCAAAAGTGCCATATAATACGGTAGAACAGTAGTCATAAAATAGTTTAAGATGCAACCTAAAGACCCGGCAGTGTTGCGTCGTATGCTAAGTATCCATCGACGTAGGCGTGTTATTAGATTGTCTCAAATTCGTGCACGGAGTCATTATTGGCAAAATTTATGTGAAGACGATTAGTGAAAAGCCGTCACTATATTAGTACAATTCTCTGTTCAGTACGTTGTATACACAAGAAGGTACAAAAAGACGAACTACTTTTAATAAATCGACAGTGTACGAGTGAGGGTAACAAGCTGCTCCCATCGTACCAACGGCTCACCTAAATTCATTATAGCAAATGGCAGACCCGTACACGAAGCTGTTCTGTTATCCACATTCGTGAGTCCGCCATCCTCAATCTCAACGCTGTTTTCATCATCAATTTCTGTAAATGACAGATAACTCACACCTTCACGCACCCACTCTACCGTCGCGTGGGTACTCGCGTGAGGAAAACACGTGTCGGGATCAAGAATTAAAGTCAAGATCGTTACCCGACGTCTTGTCTGGCTCATCCAGTTGCCGGGAGTCTCATCCTTCACACAATCTTGAACCTGGACGACCAAACACACGAATCGTTTGCACGCTGCGAAGCCATCAGATGATGTTCGCATTATGACACTTGTATGTGCGTCCACATTTTGTAACACCTTGGACGCCATGGGACAGCGATATATCTGTGCGTACAGTTTTGGCGTGGTAATAATCTCCCAAGTTGCTTTCGCTAGTGTATCACCTGTAATTCGATCTCCATTGGCACCAATAGCGCTGATTTTCTTATTGAATCGGTGCTGCATTCGCAGTTGATTCGAATCGTCTCTATGCGTTGAGAAATACACTTTCCAGCCGAACGCTTCGTTGTACAATTTCTTTGCTCCCGGTCCACGCAACATTTCCTGCATGCGCTGGTAGCCTTTACATGCGAGTTCAAGGCATGTTTTTCGCGCTATTGGCTGGTAAAAAATGGCTGGTTCATCTTGAGAAAAGACAACCCAGCGACCACCCCGTTCATGTTGTACAAGCAGCTTATCCATGTTAAGGGTGTGTGGAGTAGGCAGGCGCTCGTTCTCCGCTCTTAGCAATCTGATAAAAAGTTCCCACTCACGGTGTCTCTTGATCAATCGTCTATTCTCCTCAGTAATTATGCTTTGCTGCAGCACAAGACTTAGGTAACGTTGCTGCATGTGTCTGAGTGTAGTACACTTAATCGCGCTCTCCTTCAGCTTCGAGTCTAACAATTGAAGTTCATACTTTCTACTAATCACGCACGATTTGACAATCTGTGCGTCCACATTTGTTTGTTTCTGTAATTTTGTACAGAAATGCTGGATGGCGTGCTCCAGCTCGCGCGTAAGGCGCTCAGCCTCTGCGCGCTTGTCCATTATATTCTTTTTCTCGGCCAGTCGCTGGCGCTGCATGCGGTCGCGGTGTCTAGCCCGTCGAGCATCAGCAGATAAGCGACAATGGCTGCCATCGAGTCGGGTGGATTGAGCCATGCGTGAGCTCCAACTACTCTTGCCTAATGATGTGCACAAGTGACGGAGAGACGATTTAAATTTGAATTGGGCACGGAATAGAAACGTTTAGTTTGTATATAGTGAAGCAGCACGTACCCGTTACAGAAGTGCGAAAGCAGATGGCGCTGTTAGTATGCAGCTGGACAAGTAGCTCTTGAACGAACATCAAACAACACGATATCCCGATAAAGTAAAGATACGGCTCACGTGTCCGTACTGTAAATCCTGCCATATATTAAGCTTAAGCCCCTATAAGTACGACAGACTGGGGGATTCATAACCTTTTCTAATTCAGATTTAGCGTATGGAAATATGTGCATCCGGTATCGAGCATACACTGCCTTGAGAGTGTGGTTGAACACTTAACCCCTGAAACAAATTCAGAACAAAATTACTGATACTCTGAAAAATACTGGGTGAGGATTGGTAGAAGCTCGACAACTTTCTTACTCAAACTTAACAATGTTTTTGCACATACATGACTTAAGTCAATGCGGAAGTGTTTGTAGCGCAAATTGATCCATAGAGATTTACCCGGTCGCTTGGTAAGCTATAGATGCGTTGTGATACCGTCGAGAAGACAGGACGCACCGGAGTATGACACGATGGCTTTACCTCGATTGTAATGCCTTCCGACTGTCGTACAGCGCGACGTGCCATTTCATACCAATCAATACGCCATAATGTTAGCACCATAAGACCAAGCTTGACGATCTCGCCACAGATAGCACCCCACCATAAACCTTGAAGTCCACAGTTCCAATACAGGCCCAATAAATACGAGATGGGTAACATAGTGAGCCAGGATCCAGCCGTCGTGATGGCAACCAATGTCGCCGCCATTGACATAGCTTCGACAACAGCAGACATGATAATATGCAATCCAGACAAGAAGACTGCACAACAAAATATAGGCATGACACTATTGATGTCTGCAGTCACAATAGGGTCATTTGTGAAGAATCCTATGATTGAAGCTCGAAATATATACGTAAGAAAAGCGCACACAAAGGTTGTGATACCTCCTAGCAGCGTACTTACGTAGAGTGTCTGCTTTGCGGCTGCGGGGCGGTTCGCACCTAAAAAGTTCGCCGAACGCACTTGCATCGGCAAGCCAAAACCCCAGTAGACTCCGAACGTAAGACCCCAGAGGCTGAACAAGACGCTATTTGCTGCTAATGTGATCGAGCCCAATGTGCCTGCCAACGCTGAAATCACATTGTACACCCATTCATCAAGAGCCTGATTGATTGTCATTCCCACCGATAAAGTAACAAAAGTACGCACGCGCTCCCATTGCATACAGGCTGTAAGATCGAATCCCGCCCAAGTTTTACGGTGGTGGCCCTTGTACCAGAAGGCATATATTACAAGTGCGATCGGTTGAAAACTGGACGACACACTCTGCGCAATGGGAGCTCCGATAAAACCCAATGCTGGAAAGGGACCACAGCCGTAGATAAACACATAATTGGTGATCAGGGATACACCAACGCTGGCAACACCGATAACTGCAGGGGGTTCCATGATCTCTTGCGATTGCAGGTATTGCCGTAGCGCACAGTAAATTGCCTGGGGTAGAACTGTTGGCGTCAAGTAGCGAGCATATCTGTCTGCAAGCACCAGAACTTCGACATCATCTGTCACCAACCTCAAGACAATATCCACGTAAAAGAATGAAATCATGACTGGAATTGATAGCAACGTGATAAAAATCAAAGCTAGCTGAAGCCAGACACCAACAAGTGCATAATTTCTGGCCCCATAGGCCTGGCCACAAAGCGTACACACTGAAATGGCAAAGCCAAATATGATCATCTGTACGCCGCTCGTCCACACACTCGCTAGCGCACTTGCCGCAAGCGTCTTTGACCCTAAATGACCCAAGAACATAGTTGATACCGTTGCGAGCGATATTCTGCAAAATGTCGTTACACTGACTAACCAGCTCATATTCCAGATTGCACAGGCTTCTTCGCTTAAGGTGGGCAGCGGTTCTTCCATCTCTTCCTCCATGCACTTCTTTTTCATCATCAATGATATCGTTTCATTCATGTTTATGATCTTTATTACCACCTTGACATCCACAGTACATCAACCCTGTTCTAATCTTCAGGAAGAACAAACTAAGTTAAAAAAATATATTTTGTTACAATGTGGCTGGAGTCAAAGCAAATCTATGATGGATGTCTACTTGCGATAGTGGTTTCACTTGTTTTCAATCAATTCTAGAAAAAACCGAAACGTGCGGTGACGTGGTCGGGGACTGTGGTCCGATTTGTCGAGTTGAGACGGTTGGCCAAAAAAAGAGCAAGGCGAACATAAGTAGCTAATGCAGTAAGAGACAGAGAAGGGCGTCTGCGCATTGTAGCAAATCGGCCATTTGAACTAGCGGTGATTGTCATCTTCCCTGCGACAATACATATTATTGAGTGAGTGACTTCCATTTGTAAGATTCATACAGTTAGATGTCAATTTGATTATAATGAACAGTACTTGACAACAATTTCCTTTGTATGTAAACAAAATTAATGAATGGCAGTGGCGTGAAAAAGATGTACTGACTTCCAAGCCTGCGTTATCGAATGCATAGAAAATGTGTTTTGACGGGTCACTTAGAAGCGGAACCGAGGTCTTTAAATGATTGGGTACTTTGTTTGCAATACCAAGACTTACATGTATTATGTGCGTCTTGATATATTTAATGATCAAACAACTATTTGCAAAGCTTGACGTGATTACGAATCCTTGGTGTCAGTGCTTTGGTACGTGAGAGGTTAATGAATCGCACGTGTACGTCTTATTGTATACAAACACGGTAGTATGTACACCGCACTAAACACAATGGTCTCCTTAGCAAATATCTTTGATTGTAAATCTATATGTATTGAATAGCGAGACCCCTCCCTTAGGGATCTGTCACCGGTTCCAGTTCCTGAGCTTTGCTTCAAAGTCCGGTGTAATGTGTACGTACACCACTAAACTTTTAACAATGCAACACATGCTGCATTTTGCCTTTACGCTGTACAATTAATATCCTTTATTGGTAACGTAACCATCATGACGTGCGATCGCTGACGCGAAACCCACCCGCCCTTGTCACTACATTGCAGCGCATACCTTATCTAAAAGGCACACTCGGCATAGCATAATAGCATTTGTTAATCTCTGCTCTAGATGTAATGACGATATCGCTGTGCGCTACGACATATTCTATAAAAATTATGGGTCAATCAATTATATCTTGAGCTTGACAAAACATTCTTTGTGACGAGGATTTTCTTGCCATGAACTGGGTATTTTTCTCGCCTTCCTTTATTGATCATTCAAGACCATAACATGAGTCTGGAATAAATTATATCCAATGACAAAGTTGTAGCGTTCCAGATGACATAGAATGGCCGAGCCAGTTGAAATTGGACTACCCATGAAGCTTTCATCCACAGCTTCGAAGACCGTCTGTTTTGCCACGCCTTGGCACCGTTTGACACCTTAGTAGATTGGTAAGGAGCAGTGCCATGTCGGCGTGACTCGTACCATGTTTGAGTAACTAGTTGACCAGGCCAAACCACTTCCTTTGGTCGCTTGAGACAATGTCACTGTTCAATCTACGATGTCATTGGTATTTGTGGGGTCTGCCCATATCACATTCTCACAATGAGGCGCCAAAAAAACATTTCGTCGACGCCAAAGACACTCGTTTGTATTAACGAACAGCTTGTTGCGGCACATATGACTTGCAGGGTTTGATATTGATTGCAGCGGGGCTGCCGTAGCTCTTTGCTAAGAGGAAGCTTACTAAGGTCACTGACCTTACGTTCTATACCAGATCCGGTTGGAGTGTAGCGGATCGCATTTCGCTACCTCCAAGAGTACCCAAAACCTTAATCAAGGCGAATACACTCTTCAGTTTAAAATTGAAACTGTATTTATCTGCTATATTTGCGACAGAGCCGCCTCTATCTTAACTTGGGGTTTCCTAATTATATAAAAAAACCTTATTCATATGCATAAACCGCCACGTCGTGGCTTCTTGTAACGGCGTAGCCACATCATTATGTGATATCACAGGAGCTTTCCATCCTCTTTCTCAGTATAGCTGAGATCCGTTGGCTCAGACCCGCTCGACGAGCTCTGAGGGTGTGCATTCCAACCAAGTCGTGCTGACTTGAAGTTGAATGCGGCATTCAAAGCCAACTTCACACTGAGATGGACACGGAAGACTTCCATTCTAGCCACGCCAGTGCGAAGGCCCTGACTTGTGTAAATCACACCTTTGTACGGTCATACCATCTTATGTGACCTACCCCTCTATACAAGGGTACGTGTAACTCAGTTACACTCTAAGTACGCTGAACCCCTTTACAGCTCCTCTCCACTGCTTGTAGGACAGGTACAGCAACAAGCAACCGTTTCATTTTCTCCATCATTTCTGACACAAGATACAGCAACACACAGTCCTTCTTAAACCTTGCAACCAGACTCCATATTGATGATTTCAGATTATAGCAGTATATAACGTCCCGTCCCGTGGCTCATTTTGTGGACTGTATGTCACCAGAAGTCCCAGAAGAGATACACTCAAGAAACCGCAGTATCCTTTCAGATTTTTTTGCCTTATCTTAAACGCGGTCCACGGCTATTTCTGCCCTCAAGACTTTGTCCCAGGCACTCAGCTAAGTCGTTGCTCATCAATTCGGCTTCTACACCGATGCTATCACAGCTTCACGCACGTTCTGAATGGATCCGTCTTCTGTTTCTGACAATCGCGCTTCGTGCGTAATCGTTTAACAGTCCAGTATACGTAAGGACTTGCACCGCTTCACAAATCTGGGGACGGTGTTACTGACACCCAGCCGCCCTTGTAATGGGACAGCTGGTTACAAGTACTCTCGCACTGAGGTAGATTTTCCTTATAGCTTGGTGTTCTTGCGTGGCTCTCATTTGCGCCCCACTTACCACTGTGTGTGTGGATGGATCTCTTAATCAACTTAAGACTGAAGTGGTTTTTATATTAATCCTAATATTAACCTATAGGAGGATAATTGTACCTAATTGTAACTAGCTACTGATTGGCGTAGTCGCACACTAAGTTAATCAGTAGCTAAGTGTGTACCACACAAACTGTGTACTCGAGCCATCATACGATCTGGGCAGCTCTTTAAACAAAATTTGATTGAGTGAGCTTAATGTGCCGCAGTACGAAGTGCAGTCGGAACAGACACACAACACGTTCAATAATGAGATATTACAGCTATTGCAGCTTTAAGTCTCGAGACACATGCAGACCAAAGCCTCCCAATATAACACTGATATGCCGCCGCATTTTGTCACCTATTGTCTTTCTTATAATGCGGCCAAGTTCAGCATGAAGGTATATCTGCTGTTGAAGTCTATATGCTGTGCGATCTTCTGGAGGAGTAAATTTCACGGGACCAACTAGTGCTCCGTATACCTTCAAGTCCAAGCCACTCTCCACATGCCACCGCTGGACTCAAGTATTGCATCTCACCGTGTTAGAATGAAGAAATCGTGAAAAAGTTTACTGTTGTGCATTTAAGTGGCATGAAGGCTAGCAGCGAGACGCTCATCGCTGTATTGTTGCGGTTATTCGTCGCACTCTCCGCAAACATAAATTGTAGACGCTGACGCATGACGAGCGTATTTTAGCTCCAGAATTCAACTCCTCCGTCGCTTTGTTACACAAACTCGCTCCGGGTGAGCTACGCGTGCTTCGCAACGCGATAGTGCTCGTGGCTTGGGCGAAATAATTTGATATCAACTTCCAGTGTCTCACAGCCAGCTTTGAGATCGAGAACTGTTGCTTGTAGTGCCAGAGTCGCGAGCATCGTATTTTGATCAGCAAGTCGAAGTGCGCGCACGTAGATGTCTTGCTTCGATGAATTTAAAAGAGTTGATCCAATGACTTTCTGTTCGTTTAGCTTGGTTCAAATGGGAAGCCTAGGTACCTACAAGTCTTGTTGCAACTTAGCATTTGGACATCAGCCAGCTAAGAAAAAGGTATATTCCAGTCGAGCGTGAGTTGCACCAAAGGCTAAACTTTAATACAGAACGCTTACACTACCCTGCAACAAAGTTAGTTGAGCCTTCGACTTTGTATTGAAGTAAGTGGCCAGGAGACTTGAGATGGGTGCGACGAACGTGCTCGTTACCATGTTATCTGTGGTCAAACATGCGTCACGCTTCTCGTGCAGCCGTACAAATTACCCAGCGGCCTGATCGAGCGACTAATCGTTAGGACAGCCGGCCGCCATAGTGCACGCGCGCGTGGCATGCAGTGCTTGACCATTTCTCAGCAGAAATGATTGCGAGCTGGTGCACAGTAGCCGGATCCAATAGATTTTGTTCGAAGGTTATGCGCATCCGTCGAATATATTGCCCGGGTGACACGATGGAGAGTCAAGATATTGTATTTGTCTCTTCGTTGTGACTCGCGACGAGGTCTTGCAAGTCAAACAGGATGCGAGCATAATTTTGGACTGGGCGGTTCTACACAACACTATTTGTATTAATTTCGAGGCGAAGCACCTTACAAAATACGAAGTCCAAAATTTAAACGGCTCCTGGATCGTACAACTCATCGATCGCTAGCTGCTGCGGCAAAGAGCATGACATTTTGATACCTTTAGGCGTTGAAAATGTGATTGTAGGACTCAGAATAAGCAAGAAACGCATGTTTTGTCGAAAGTTGTCCCACTTTGACATATGTTTGACTCGGCAGCATCAACGACCACTTCGAGCATGACTTCTTCATGGTTTGATCCACGTCAAATATCACTCATCTGAATGGGGTGAATTGTTGAAACTGACTGTGACTTTTGAGGTGTCGTGGAAGATGTTTGCGATTTTTTCCTTTCAAACGTGAGCCAACATCTCATCAGAACACTGAAAAAACATCAATGAGCTCACAAGCGAATTATATTCAATTAATTTATGATTCGAAATGAATTGGCGCCATACATTATAGTTAGAACTACTTAGCAAGTCAATTGCATCCCATTTTGTTAGTGTATCGCTTGATACGAACACTTTCATCCCCAACGATTCGAAGGCTGTTGAATAAGTGTCATACCCAAACTTCAAGGCTTTATAAATTTGCAGTAGTTCATCACCTTCCACCTTGATCGTAGACTTAAGGGGAGTTCTGAAACTTGCGATGACAGAAGCCGCAAAATCAAATACGTTGAATACCCTGTCCTCATTCTCTTTCTCCTTGCATTCCCGCTATTATCGCTCTTTGCTCTCAGATTCTCGAGTCCTAAAGATCTAGACCCAAGCAACATCGCGGTAGAGTTTTTCGTGGCGAAGGCGCTGTTTACACTGACAAGCAGCAGCAAAGCAAGCACAAAGACTGCATTGTCTAGCTTCATTATTGACATGATAGTACGTGAAATCAATATTCTGGTTGTTTTTGATTGGACCAATTAGACAGCGAATGGTCTGAGAACCATATATTTTGAGGGTTATGTTTGATACACTAGATAACATGTGAATGAATTTACAGGTTGTAATTCATTAATTTTAATTTTAATTTTTATGAGGCGCGAATCTAGCTCGATACTCATGGGCACTCTTGCCGGCTTCACGTACACATGATATATTCCGCCCTGCTGCAATTGGCGTCTGCTCGACATAAAGGTCACACCAGCACCCGTTGATTGTGACATGTATAGCACAGTTTTGTTTCGTCAAATAACGTTTACTTAGCTGAAAGTCTCATCAGGGTGATAAGAAGATTACAATTACTTCGCCTTAAGTGACTTTGTTAAACGCTTCTTAAAAATGATTGGTGTACGAGAAAGTACGCAAGATATGCATTTAAACAGCCTCCCAATTTCCGAACGCTAAAATATTGAGTTGGTATATCAGCTATCCCAGTGGCATTACTTCTTGAATTTCCAGCAACAGCTCAAGCAAATAAAGCGTCTCCAGCGGCAAAGACAGTATACCACGCTGATCCCCACCCGTTCCCTCAACCAAACTCGCCACTTCAGAGTCAGGCTTTATCAAGCCAATTTTTCTTGTCTTCGAATACATCATGAATTTAAAAAATGGAGACGGGCAGCGCGTTTCTTGAACATAGTCAAGTTTTGGGTCCGCATTAGGGCAGTGATGGATCGGAAATAGTCTCTGGTAAAGACCTGTTCCCGACAAACATGAGTGTGGGCGACTGCGATTCATAAAAGATTAGTCAAGGCTACTCCGGGCAAGCCAAATTGACGATGTGATCATCAGCAACAACAACGGCGCCAACGATGGCCAGCACAAAGACAACAACTCGACGGAAAGTGTTCAAAAGCGATCGGTCCTCAAAATCCAGGCGATGCAGCCATTCAGTCAGGTCCAGCGGTCTGGTTGACCGCTATCAGCTGCACTTCTCGATCGGTAAACCGACTTTTTAAGCTTTCACTGCCCGCAATGCGAGAGCGTTCACTAACATCGGCGGAACCAACGACATCTCTCGTCAATCACATGGCTCCTGGGCTTCTCGTTTCTGAAACATAGACTGGTATTTGCTGACAATTTGGTTGAAGTATCTCTATGACCCAATTTCGCCAAGGTCCAGCTTTAAGAGGATTTTTACAGAATAAACGCGATCGTGCGCTACTATACAAAAGCCATGCCCGATTGCGGTATGGAGGTATCACGTGTAATAACTTGGTCAACGAAAACAGGTTTAAACCATTTGCAATGGCAAAAGCTGTCCACTTATTCGACGAACTGACGCGCCGGTGCTACATCGTCGGTGCATTGAAGCTCAAAATGGGACCGCACGGTCTTACGATGCACGTGATGGTAGGGGGCGATGACAGCTTCAACCATACCATCCAAGCAACAATTACGCAACATCAAGCTACAAATTTCCTTCCAGAAATGTGTATAAAAACGTTCTATAAATGTGATTAGACATCATACAGAAGTCACTAAGCCCATTACTAATTTACAGATGCACTCTTAATCGATTGAGCTACATTCCAGTAAATATTTACTCCCTGTTGAGTAGAAGGCAAAACCGAAGGGAATATATTTAGGTCCTTAGTTCGCTACTCTGTGCTACCTCTAAGTCTGTCTTTCTAGATCCTTCTAGAAGCTTCTATAAGCATCCTCAATTATCTAGACCAATGAACAACAACCAATATGTAATTACTTACTGTGGCGTGCTCGTAAATATGGTGACGTCATCTGCCTGTACACCATGCATTCAGCGGTGTGATCTCAACACTCCCACTCACCGCTAATGCTGCGCGTGCTTTGTCGCTGACATGACCTTGATTCCGGAAACTTTGCGCAGATACTTTAGCATCTTGGTTCCAAGTGCCTTTGTCAGCATATCCGCAAGCTGACCCTTCGTGTCAATATAGTCGATTTTCAACAGTCCTCTTTGCACGTTCTCGCGAATAAAGTGGTGCTTGATGTCCACATGCTTCGTCCTAGCGTGGTATACGGCATTATTTGATGACGCGATCGCATTTTGGTTTTCTTCCCAAACCTGTGTTCCTTCAATTTGCTCGTGTCCCATGTCTCTTAGCAATACCCGCGTCCCTGCGTACAAAGGCTGAGAGCCATATACTCAGCTTCAGCTGAACTTAGCGAAACCCTCCGCTAATATTTCGAGTTAAATACCACTGGTGCGCTCGCAATCATGACCATAACTCCCGAAACCGAACGTCTATTATCGGTGCTGCTGCCCCAATCTGCATCCGAGTATGCTTTGACCGCAACGCTCCCACTTCCTCGGTAGACGATCTCGATTTGGTTCGTAATCTTCAAGTACCTTACCACTCTAATCGTTGCGCTCCAATGATGTAGTCTCGGGTTCTCCAAAAGTCGTGATAGCTGTGTTACCACGTACGCAATATCCGGTCGAGTCCATGTCGTTTTGTACAGCAAGCATCCAATCAAAGAGCGATAAGGCTTGGATCGCATCGCCGACCGTTCTTCTTCCGTTGTTGGTGACTGATTTGATTACAGCTTCAATCCTGATGCGCATGGGTTATCCGCGCTCTTGGCATCTTGCTGACGAATCGCATAACCACGTCTGCCTCACCCAACTCGACCGGAGAATAAGTCTCGAATAAATCGGCGCCTTGTTTTTGCTTGATTCATTTCGCGACCAGTCGTGCCTTGTATCGCACGACATCGCCATTTTGATTACGCTTTTTGGCAAATACCCATCGTGATCCAATTGTACATTTAATTTTTCCTCGTGGCTTCAATGTCCACGTTCCATTTTTTTCATAAAAGCGAAGCTCAGCATCCATTGCTTCACGCCATTTCATCGCATCGCCGCTTGCTATTGTTTGAGCATACGTAGTTTTCAGCGGGGCTGCCCTATCTATGTGCTTAGAGGAAGCGTAAGTTAGGTCACCGACCTAACGTTCTTCAGAAGAACAAGTACGAGTGTAGTGGATTGCAATCCGCTACCTCCAAGAGTAGTTAGAACCTTAACCCAAGGCTGATGAACTTCTCTCTTTAGCATGTAAATTGTATTTATTTGTTTTATCTGCGGCAAAGGGCCGCCTAACTCTAAATGTATAAGTATCCTAAATATATATAGTAAATCTAAATACATGCATAGCTACTGGCTACCCAGCCACGTACCGTATTCTTATTTGGGTGCATTCACACCATGCCCATCTCGTGTGACACCCCCCCTGCTCCCAGGGTGTATATATAGTAGGTTGGTCCGTATCATCGTCAATGCTAACAGCATAGGCAAGAACAGCTGCAATTAGTCAATCCTCGTCAATCCTAGCACATTCCGGAGTTGGTGAACCTTCACTGCCTTCTGCCGACTCTTTGTCATCTGGGTCGTTCCTTATCGTTAGCACCGGCTCACGTCTTACTCCACTTCAGGCCGAATCACCGAACGATCTTCGTGTTGCACTCGAATCGGTTGATGATACTCCATGAGCTCAAGTCTGTTTGTACAGGGCTCTCAAACGGCATCAGCCGCTGCACATTGATGCTTGGCGCGTGATCAATATCATCCATTTCGACATCCGCAACTGGCTCTTCGACAGCTTCCATCGGATCGTCCGAACCCGGCTGTCGATCCACTTGATGCTGAACCTTGCCTTCATCACCATCCTTCATTACTTGAATGATTCGTTCCGGTTTGACCTCTTGCGTGTCGTAAATACCGCCCACCTCACGCTCGTCCGACTTCACAGAGCGAGTCACTTTGATCTTGGCATTCTCCAAGTCAAACACGTGATAGCATTGGTCCGTTTCACATTGTCAATGCGAACGTAGCCGTACGAACCAATCACGCGCAAGTGATTCATTAATGGCTTCATCCTGAGAGCCAGCTCGTAGAGTGTGATTCTGGATGGGTCGTATTGCTCGAGCGGTTGATTAAATAAACCAATGTGTTTACCGCTTCCGTCCACCATTCCGTCGAGACGCTCTTGTAATGCAACATTCCGCGGGCCTTCTCCACGGTAAACCTGTTCATACGCTCCGCCACTCCGTTCTGCTGAGGGCTTTTGGAACGGAACGCTGGTGTACAAATGCAGTTCTGTTGACATATTCCAGCCATTGTCTTGTTTACAAATTCAGTTCCGTTGTCAGATAGTAAAAACCTCAGTCGCGCACCCCATTGGCTCTCATAAGGCGTCAGAAACTCCTTGAACTTACAAGCCATTTCACTCTTGCTCTTGATTATAGAGATCGCCACATTTTTTGAAGAATCGTTCACAAACGTAAGAATGTACTCGGCACCACCCTTCGAGGAGATCCTCATAGGCCTAATGAAATCTTTCCGCACGTGTCGTTTTTGTCATTGAGCGAGATGGAAATTCCGTGACTGATTCACCGTGCCAGCTTCTTTAACGAGCAACTTCTTCCCATTTGCAATTGTGACTTCAATGCTAGCTTTAAGGCTCTTGTAATCAAACAAGTCCTTCCCGTGTGGGATCATGTGGGAAGTTGCCCCACTGCCAAGCAGCCATCCTGATGACTTTCCTTCACCAACATCAAACACCGTGTCGTCGCTGTCGGACCTCTTACTGGCCGGGCAGCTCCGCTTCCTGTGCCTAAACTGGTCATAGTTAAAACACTTGCCGTTGAATCCGCCGTTTTTGTGTGGAGGACCACCCTTCTGTCCATTGTTCCGTCCACCTTTGAATCTGCTAGCGTTTTCAGTTACGCAGATCGCTTTCTCCTAGCCTCCTTCCTTTGCAGCTTCTCCGATTCCTTGAGCAGCTTCTCCTTAACTTCAACTTACGTAATGTCCTTCGCGTTCTCCACAATCGACGAATTTAAGTTGTACTCTGACGGTAGACTGCTGAGAAGAAACACCAGTTGATGTGACTCATCAACTGGCTCTCCCGTAGTCTGGAGTCCCACAACCAGCTCATCAAATGAGTTCAGATGCTCTGCCATGCTTTCCTCACTTTCCATCTTGAACTCGTGCAGTCGACGAGTCATCACCACACGGTTGTGAAGAGTCGAGCGATTGTAGAAATCGCGGAGGGTTCCCCATGATTCCATGGTGCGCGTAGTCGACCGTATCTTGGTCTGATGCTGGATCTCAACGCTTTGAGCGATGATGCCGTGCGCCGTGGCATCAACCACTAGCCAGACCTCCGCGACGTCCACTCTCTTCCTTGACGGCCATGATGTGCCCCAGGAGACCCTCCTGTTAAACTCCCAGTGGTAGTCGTTACCACTCCCTAGAAGGACTTCGGTTCGCTTATTGGCCATAGTGGGCGAGGATGTTGCTTGTAGAGAAAGGCTTGGTGCGGCTGTTAATCTGTTGAGTAGAAGGTAAAAATCGAAGTGAATATGTTTAGATCCTTAGTCTGCTGCTCTGTGCTACCTCTAAGACTGTCTTTCTAGATCCTTCCACAAGCTTCTATAAGCATCTTGATTTATCAAGACCAATGAACGCCAGCCAATATGTAATTACTTACTGTGACGTGCTCGTAAATATGGATATGCTCGACAAGTTTTATTTGTAGAATAAACAGCAGGTTCCGCATGGTGCGAGCAGGCTATTGGTGTTGTTTCGGCTAACATTTGTCCGGATAGGCGCAGCGCGACAATAATGGATCATGTCTGTACAACCTTTTCAAATCGCGCTGTAATGTTGGTACATGACATTCGAGCGTTCATCACCATGAAGCGAATAAGTGCTCTTGGTGAATACCTCTGGGAATCAAATAACCCTAAATTCAGGTCCTTGCGAAGCGATGAGTCGCACGAACTCAGGGCTAAGCAGCATCGTCACCAAGTTAAGCCGTAGAAATTTAAAAAACCCACCCTAGTATATATACGCCAAACAATAGTGCACCACATGAAACGGGGTTACACGTACCCTGGTAACAGGGGTGTGTGTCACACGCGATGGGCATGGTGTGACTGCACCCAAATAAGAATACGGTATGTGGCTGGGTAGCCAGTAGTCATGCATGTTTATAAATTTTACTATATACATTTAGGAAAATCTAAATGTTAAGAATTTGGCGGCTTTGCCGCAGATAAAAATAAATAAAGTCAGTTTTTGATTTAAACGGAAGAGTTAATTAGCCTTGGGTAAAGGCAATAATTACTCTTGGAGTAAGCGGATTGCGATCCGCTAACCTCGTACTTGTTCTAAGTATAGAACGAAGGTCGGTGACCTAACTTATGCTCCATCAAAGCGCAAAGCTACGGCAGCCCGCTGCACTTGGTAGCACTCGTAGTCGTCCTACACCTGAGTCGTTTAAACTGATCCTCTGTGAGGATGGAACAATTTTCTCTTTGCCCCAGGGCATGCAGGACGGGCTTAACAAACAAATGTCCTTGCTAAGCCCTAAGGGCGTGCAACACCTTGCAGCGCAAGGCCCCAAGGCAGTTGGTGCGCGTCTAGAGGCGTTTTTAAATCACGAAAATGCGCTGCTAGAGCGCCTGCAGCAGAAGATGTCTTCATCATTTGCGTCTATGATGCCACCGTCAGTGATGGATGATTCTCTCCGCCCTAAGCCGCTCATGGTGAGCGTTAAGGTCTTCGAGGGGAAGGATGGACAGAATCTCCTGCTCTGGGTGAGAGAGGTCGAGATGGCCATCGCATCCGCCATGCCCCAGACCGAGCAACAGCGCGTGGCGCTAGCCATCTTAATGTTCGGTGGCCGAGCGCAAGAATGGGCGCTGACGTGCGTCACTTCGGTCGAAGCTGCAGTCCCCTCCTGGTCAGAGCTGTAATTGCAGCTCTCATGAGTGTTCTCGCCGCCTGATCAAGCATATCGCGTGCAGTCCGTTTCCTTTCCGCCCGGCCGAGGGCAACAACGAATTGGTGGACTTTGTCGAAGAGATGCGCACTCTCATTGCTGGGATGATAGCAGATCCCCTTCCGGAGGCGGTCACAGTGTATATGGAAGGCCTCCGCACTGGTGTGGCCAGAATGGAAGTCTTCCGTTTGCATCCGCCTTCGTTTGAAAAGGCAGTGAATGTGGCATTGAATGCCAAATTCAATTTCAAGTCGGCACGACTTGGTTGGAATGCACACTCCGACAGCTCGTCGAGAAGGCCTATGCCCATGGTTCGCAGCTATGCTTAGGACTAAAGAGCAGAGCTCCGAGCTGCCGGGCAGCACAAAACACACGACGGTGTTTTGTCTATGGAGATACCCATCATCTTCGGAACGATTGCTCTCTGCGCAAGGCGTGTCAAGGTTCTTCCAACCATCGCACCAGCGCCTACCAGTCTGGTTCGTCGCGGGGATACGACACCACCCAGTAGGCGCGGGGCAACTTGCCGGAGGAGAACTGAGTTCTGTTGAGCCTCAGGGAGGCATAGGTCAACAGAGCCCAGCCTCGAAGAGCTCCGTGCTCTTGAACACAGAATGTATATCCAAGCCGGGCTTGCTGGTCGTGGAGGCGACTTTAAAAGGCTTCGAAAAGCCATGGAAGATCCTCATCGATTCCGGGGCGTCGGGCAACTATGCTCGACGCTCCTTGATAGAAGGAAGTCAGCTGTATGCTGAGGCGCTGAAAGCGTGGTTGGGTGACATCGTTACTGTTCGCCTAGCGACGGGGACACGCGTTACGGTCTTGAAGGTCCCTGTGGACCTCGGATTCAAGTTC